TGGCCCCCCCTCAATATCTCTGGGGTCCCTTCTCCCCTCGCGGCCCCGGGGAAGGGGGTTGTGGCCCCCCCCTCAATATCTCTGGGGTCCCTTCTCCCCTTGCAGCCTCGGGGAAGGGGGTTGTGGCCCCCCCATCAATATCTCTGGGGTCCCTTCTCCCCTCACGGCACCGGGGAAGGGGGTTGTGGCCCCCCCCAATATCTCTGGATCCCTTTTCCCCTCATAGCCCCCAGGAAGAGGGCTGTGGGGATCTCATTGTCTGTGGGGTCCCTTTCCCCATCAGAGCCCTGGGGGCAGGGGTGTAGAGCACCTTTTCTTTGCTCTTTTAGAGCACCTCCCCTTTCCCTGCTCACAGGCCAAGAGAAGGGTGTTGTGGTGATTTCCCCCCAAAGTCTCTGAGGTCTCTTTCCCCTTACAAGCTCCGAGAAATGGGTTGTGGGACAGCCCCTCTCCAGTTATCTATGGGATCCCTTCCTCCATCCCAGGAAGGGAGATTGTGGGTGGCCCTTGCCATCTGTGAAGACCTTTTCCTCTCCAAGGCCCAAGGAAAGGGGGGTTGTGGGGTGCTTTCCCCCTCAGAGGTCTAAGTTAGTGGTTGTGGGGGCACTCTTTTCGTTACTTGTGGCTTGTCTGCTTTGGCTTTAATGGCTGGTTCCTGCCGCGCTGGGGTGAGCAAACACCAGGAGGTCTCCCTGACCTAAGTGCCTTCCCACAGAGTGCGGGGAGCAGGTTTCCTGGTACTGGGTTGCAGGGTTGCCCCTACAAGTCTGGGGGATGCAGTTCCTGCCCTGGTGGGGAAGGGGGGGACTCAGGCCATCCTGCCCCGTCCCCAGCAGCTCTGTGTGCAGTCGCTCTTTTGCGAGTTGCTCACCTTGGCAAGGGTTTCCTGCCCAGTCACCTTCTGCAGTTGGTGCAAGGGAAACCTGAGCCGCTTCTCTGCGCTGAGGCAGAGCAGCTGGCAGCCCTCTGTAACTGAGAAATGGCTTGATCCACCCGTGGCCCAGCTCTCTTAGCTGCTCCAAACTTGGTTGGGAGCCTTGCAGCGTCAAGCCTCTCATACCTTCCTGCCCTTGCTCTGTAGGGTGCCGTTAAGGGATGAAAGTTTAGAAAAGATTTGTGCTCTGTTAGGGCACTATCAGTGCATGTGCTCAAGACTCTGCACCGTTTGTCTGGCTGGCTGTCCCCCCTCCCCACCCAGGGAAATCACTGCTGCCCTGGCCTCCCTCCTGAGCTGGAGGTGCCCTGCTTCACCTTCTGTGTCAGGGGTGGGAGTAGTCCTCTCCTCCCGGCACCGCTTGCATCCTCTCATACCTCCCTGCCCCTCTTCCAGCGCCTGAACTCTGCTTATCCCATGCTGCTCTCTCCGCGTGTTGGCATTCCCACCCCTCCGCAACTCTGGCTGTGCCTTTGGCAGCCTGTCCTGGTCCTGCTGCCTTTTTTTTTTTGGTGCATATGTTTCAGTGACAGCTCATTCAGGAAGTTTCTGTTTCAGAACTATGTTTGGGGACTGGGTAGAGCTAAGGTGGAGTGGTTATGCAGAGGTTGCTAATGTGCTTTTTGCATGTTTGTGGAATTGCAGAGGTAGCTAAAATTGCGAAGGCTGCTGAGGTCTGTCGTTCTTTCCTCCCCTCCCCTCCCAGTGTTCACCAAAATAGTATGGTTTTGTCCTTTCGTGTCTAGATCATTGCTAGGTGTTTTAGAACTGACTATAATCTGATATTCAAAAGCCTGTTGTGTTCAGTATGGAGAGGAAAATACTTTGCTTGGCTGGATAGCTGTAATTCTTTCCTCTCCTTTTCTAGGTGTGCACTCTTTCTTCTCCCTGACTTTGCAGGTATGCCTTTTTTTCTCTTCACCCAAGCTGTTCTGCTTGTTCTCAGCTGTTTTTTCTTTCCCTTGTGAAGGTGACTTATTTCCTGTCTTCCCCTACCACTGAATCCTGTGTCCTTGATTGTCTCTTAGCAGTCAGCAGTGTAGCTACTGGAGCAAATTGTCGGGCTTTCAGATGATCAAGGTTAGGTGCCGTTGTCATTTCCCTGACTAAAGGCTTAGCGTGCAGCTGCATATTACAGCTAAGGTGATCTCCTGAGAAAGGTGGTCCCTCTCCTGCCTGTGCACTCCTTCGGCTTTGTTTGAGCCACCCCTGTTACTCATCTGATTTGGTGGAGAGCCAAGTTAGGGAATTAAACCAGCAGAAGAGCCAATACTACAAAAAAAATATGTATATAGTTTTCTTTTGCTTTAGCTGCTTGAATTGGCTCAGTGCCAGAACTGGTGTCGAGGGAGGGATGGACTTGCTCTCTTCAGCCACAAGTAACCAGCGGATCCACTGATGTCTCAGGTGGAATCAGTCTCAGTGTGTTGAACTTGCTTGTGCTCTGAATCACCAAAAAGAAAAAAGCGAGTGGGTGGGGGAAGCTTGTGTTTGCTGTTTCTCTGCTTTTAGTGCAAGCAGGTACAAGGTGTATGTGACTGGACTACTTAATGCCCAGCTAAAATGACTGTTGCTTTTGTGAAGACTGCAGTACCAGCAACTTTGGAAAGAGGAGGAGAAGCACCTCACTAGGATGGCATGAGCAGTAGAGATGTCTGAGAGTCACAGATCCCAGCTGCCAGTCTCTGGGAGTGGGGAGGAACAGACTGGTGCCAGTGGACCTTGCTTCCATCTTTATTATGTCTCTGACAGCACATGGGTCCAGGTGTGCTGTCACTCTTTCTGGGTTTCCATGTGCTGCCATTTATGTTTCTGGCTGCTGCTGGGATGAGGATTCAGGAGCTCCTGATGGGGAGCGTAATGTGACACACGTGATATGACAGAAGGACTAAATATATAGTCATTTTGGCCTTGTCTAAATCAGCTGTGCCCAGTCATGTAAACAAATATGCAGAAAGGAGGATTGGGACAGTCTCTGGCAGTGAGAACCCTTCAGTGCTGGACTGGGGGAAGAGGTGCTGCTGTTGGCTTGATCGCTGTACAGACCTGCAGAAATCACTACTTCTGTGCTCCTCCGGTGGGGTTCATCCCTGTGCTACATCTGCAGGGTCTGTGTGGAGTCGAGCCAGGTATCCCACAGCGAGCTGCCCCATCCTCAGTCATCCCATTCTTGCAGTGCCACCTGACACTCATTTTTGGTGTTGTCTTTCGTCCCCAGAGAGTTAAACTGTGACAGTAATCTTGCACTTTTGGTTATGCATTGCATAAAGCAGCTGTGGCTTCTCTCCAGAAATCAGTGAAGGATGAGATGGGCTGCTCTTGCTCAACTGAAGTGACTTTTCAAAGGTTTTGGAGTCCGGAGTAGGAGATGGTGTAAGCTAGGTTGAATTGTTAAATTATTTCCGGGAGAGATGTTTTAAAACCATAGCTCTCTGACTTGCTGCTTCTTGTTGGGATCTGACAGGTCAATCTGACACCCTGCTGAGATTAAAATCACAGTCTAGTTCCAGTGTAAGAAGTGGTATAAGACCCGATACAATTTATATCGGGCGTTTCAGGAGGCTGCAACAAATGTTTGCATAATGTGACTCCAAAAAAACCCAGATACATTTATTCTATTAAGTTTCTTTACTGAGGAGAAATGTAACTTTCTTTTGGACAGAAGAGAAAGAGTGGTTTCTATTAAAGGGATAAGTGGCGTTAACTTTTTGGCTGCAGCCTTAGGATAATGTATTGTAGACTTGGTATTTAGCGGTGACTTGAAAAGTAACCAGATTTAAGGGGATAATGCAGCCAAATAACATAAATCCAAAGCTTATTTTGGATTTGCAGAGCAACAATAGAAATAGTTTCATTGCCTATTTTTAACTTTATGCATTTCCCTGCAGCACTGGCACTCGGGCATAGGTTTGTTCTGGCTGAAATCCCCAGGAAGTGGTGACAAGCAAGAACTGAACCCAAAGCTGTTGAGCTAGACATAGGATTAAAAATTGTTCTGTGGGATCTTTTATAAGCTCTCTTTAATGCTTTATAGGAAGCCTAAACATTGACAGTATTTCAGTCCTTGGCATTGAGCAATATTAATAGTAGCATTTGCCTTTCCAGCGGCTTTATGCTTTGCAGAATGCCTGATACATTGTCTGTGCAATCACTAGAATAGCAAAATTGTTGCTTGTCATATTTCATAAGCCACTTCTGTTCAGCAGAGTGGATATACAAAAGCCAGTCGCTGCTGTATTTATTAAGAGCTTTTATTACGCTTTTCTAGTCTGCTCACAGATTTTTATTTAACGCTTTTGTATAGTGCTTGCTGCCACTGTCTCAAAGGAATAATTCGTCTCTAGTATTAAACGCTAGTGGAATGAAAAAGTGCTTTACTTCTGAAAATGTTACCAGGCAGCTGGGGAACCTGGTGAGTGTGTTCCTGACAAATTGGTTTGAGTGAAATACCTGCGGAGCTGCTAGCTTGTTCCTGAGTGTGACAGTAATGATGTGACCTTGCTCTGCTTTTCAGTACAGACTGATTGGTTCCTGGTTTCCTTCTAGCACTGAGGTCTGTTTCTGGGCTCTAATCTTTGCCAGTGGAGAGTGGTCATAAAACAATAGCATGTTCTTTTAATTGTAAAACTTTATGTTCAAGGAGGTGAAATGGGCAGCTGAGAATGCTGTGCGGGAAGCATTGTAATGACTGCTCAGGTTGTGGTTCAGTGAGAGGATAAATCTCAGTTGCCTCAGACCAGATTGCAAGGTGGGTGATCAGATGACGCAAAGTGTTTAAAAAGTCCAAGCTTAAGCAGTTTAAATCTTTTCCAAAACTTCAAGGGGTGAAGTTGTCCCTCCTGACTTTGTCAGATCAGGTATCCTCTTGCCAGCCATTATATTGTATGCTTTGGCAAACTTCTCTAAAGTAAGACTATGAACTCAATTCTGATCTGAAGTAAATTTGTTTGCTGGGAAAACTGGTAGTAGTCAGATCTGGTATCAATGATCTGCAGCTCAGATCTCTCTCATCAGGCTGTCTCCCCCAGCTAAGGTGGTGGTTTGTATAATTAAAATCTTAGTATATGCCTTTTCTCTGATCTCTTTTGGGATAACTTCTGAATGCGGATTAGAAATGGCATATCATTTATTTTTTTCAATTCTTGCTCCTGTTTATAAACTTTAAGTCATTGAAAAGCTGAATCTTTATGTCAGATTTGAACTTGAGGTTTGGTCTATCCTGAAACAAATGGGTGCTGCAAGTGTCTTAGACTTACTTTTGGAAAACGGTACATCACTTGTGATCGATTCCCTTTTGGAAGATTTGCCCAGGTAGTAAACTTAGAAAAAGCAATGCTTAAATTCCTTTGAGCCGAACTCGATGGGGACTGACCAGTCATTTTGGCTTGGAGGGCCATGTTAATTCCTTGCAGAAATGCCAGTTTTACATGTAACATTTAATCGATGATACAAAAAGATACATCTTATCGCACAGAGCAGGTGGCTGTAGCCTCGTAAGTACGGCTCTGCTTAAATTGCAGTGAACTTCTAGTACAATGTTTTGCGTGTTGAATTGATGCTCTTTCTGAAAAAAATAGTAAACTGAGTATTGGCTTTAGCACGTTATTTCCATCTTATACATAAATTATTGTACAGATTGCTGATTTCTAGTAGAAATGACTGCAATCATGTGAGTTTATTATTTGGCATTGCAGTTGTTACTTAAAAGAATTCTGCAAACTGTATTTGCTGTTGGTGCTTAGTTACCCCGGGGGGTCCTGAACTTCCCTCTTGCACCTTCTGAAAGCAGCTGTGAGTAGTTTAAAGTATTTATATGGTTAGAGTATTTATATGGCAGCTTAGGAGACCCTGTAACAGGTTCCCCATCATGATGGATAGATCCTCTTGGATGTCCTCTCTGGCGTTGACTGATAGAGGCAGTAGTTCTGGAGAGTTAACTAGCTGTAAGTTTAATTCAAGGTATTCTTACGTATTTTGGGGGAAGTTAACTATATGATGGTACGTTCTCTGTCTGTGTCCTTGTTGACCAGCTGCTATATCTCTAGATCTTGGAGCTTCCTCTAACTTTATCTTTTCTCTTAATGCTATCATAGGAACTAAAAAAGTAAGTACTTTTGAGTTGTCCTGTGCTTTTTTGCTCTTTCTGGAAAATCGGGCATTATAGCTTTTATGGACACTTCTTATAAACAGGTTATTGCACGTTTTTCTGATACCTACTGGAAGTAAAGTGCACCCTTACAGGTTTATTTACTAACATATTGCTACATCTCACTTTGGTTCAGAACAGTTCTTTGATTTAACTGAGAGCCTCCAGGACAAAGCCTGCAACGCTGAGAGTCCTCGATAGTGCACCCTGCCGTAGAGATCACTGATGTAGTTGCTGCAACTTCAGTACCTCAGGACTTTTTTTAAGGCAGAAATTTTAGGTCTTTTTTTGTCGGGTGGGTGTGCCCTTTCTATATGATATTTTAATGGTGGTGATGGAAATTAAATATTTAAAGGTGCTGCAACTTGAGCTTGAACTTTCTGAAAAAGTTTAAACTGTAACCTTGGAGGGTGCATGCATGTGCATGAGGTTAATGAGCTATTCTTGCTGAAGAATCTCCCTGAAGGCTTTATTCGTTTGCAGTCTGCGTTTTCTCCTCGGGATAACGCAAATTGACGTGAATCTGAAGCCAAACAGAACATGTTAAACAGATGCAATGATCTGATGTTCTGTTTCTGAGTCCTCATTGATCTGAGTAAAATAAAAATTCAAATGTACTATCAAATTCAAAACTCTTTTGTATGTCCTACCTATATGTAGTTTCAGTTGTGCGTTTCGCTTTCCTCGTGGATTTTGTACTTTTAGCGTACTAGATTTAAATGAACATTGTTTTAAATGTGTACATTGCAAAACAATGCCATTTTGAACAGTACTTCCTGCAAAATAAGTTGCATCATTTTTATCTTTTTCCAGTCTTCCAAATTACTGAAATGCAGGTGTCGCTCTAGCAGCAAACGTGGTCCCCTCTTAATGTTACCCTTCAAGAATCCTGTTTAAATAGTATATTTTCTGTCAGATTATTTTTTAAAGAGGTGCTGTTTTTACTTGTTAAGATTATAAAAAATTATCTAAACTATTTGTCCAGCAGCTGAGACTGTTAGGAATATGCGGCTGCCTTGATGTTTCTTTTTTTACAGCCAGACCATAACAGCCAGAAAATAACTTGTGCGGTCTCTTTAGTGGCATTGAAACGTGCTGGTCTTCTGTGGGCATGACTCATATGCGATGTCATTTTTCGCTGCTTGGTTGTAATGTCATGGAAGCTGTAATAGCAGAGCTCATCCCCTTGAGCAAGCCTGAGTTACTGCTTGCTTGTCATGTTACTGATTAAACTCGCAACATGTGTGCTTACAGTTGGGGTGGGTTTGACTTTGACAGTAACAAGAAGGATTGATATTCATTGAAACTACTAGTTGTTTTTTAGTTGTCTGTAGTAAAAAAGTGTTATTGCTACATAGCTGGCATAGGATGCACTGGAAGAGTGTAATGTAAAATGATGACTTGAAGTTATGTTTTAAACCTTTTTAGCTGTATCCCCAGTGTCTTCAGCAGTTGGTGAAGGAGCAGTTTCAGAGCTCCAACAAAGAGCTGCTTTTGCTTTGCCTACTGTTTTTTTATAAAGCAAATATAGTGTTACATTCCTTTAATATTTTAAACTATGACAATCCTCTAAATAGAGTAAAAAACTTTTAAAAAGGCAAAGGTGTTTACATGGAACAATAGTTTATCCCTTTTTGTCAGTCGAGCCCTGCAATCGAGGCTTGTAAAGTCTTCCAGAAATTGTTGCAACTGTAAGCCACCAATTCAAGTCTAGCTGATATTTCAGCTGCACATAATGTTTATATGGCAACCTATTGCAGATAAATCTGCAGTTGTGAAACTACAGCTGTTAGTAGCTAAAGGGGGAAGCTGACTTGCAGGTATTTAGTTTCAGACCTTTTTTTTTTTTTTTGCTTCAGGAGAGTGGATCATGTAGTCATGCTTGGCAGAGTAGTAGTTACCTACTTAGTGGATATTTGAGCAGTATAGTAAATTCTGTACTTGGGAAGATATTTCCTATACCATTTCCAGTAATCTAGACATACTGGAAGCTGTTTAATTTGTTTTTCCCCCCTAGTGAAATATGATTAGGACAGGATAGCACAAAGAGGATGCAATATTTATTTCATTTGAGCAGAAGATATTTTGGTAAGCTAAATTAATCATGAGACCTCTTCCAGCTCTTGGTTGATGCCGTTTGATAGCAACTGGAGTTTTAAACCAGAATCCAGTATTAGTTTTTTAAATCAGCTCCCTCTGCTGGCTTTCTAGTAGCAAAACGCAAATACCTGTACTGTGTAAGCAATGACCTCTAAAGATACTCATGAGTTCGGGCATCTTTCTTTTTTTAGCATGTCTTCCCAAATCAGTGCCTAGTTGAGTGTGCTGAACGGGTAATTCAGAGCTAATCTGCCAACTTGAAAAATATCTTCTATGTGCCGAGGCTTTGAACAAAACCTTAGCGATCTCGTCCTGACAGTTGTCTTCAAAAGTGAAATTGGAAGTGTTTTTAGTAGGTGCCTTTATTTGTAAAGGGTACTATATAATAATGTAGAATGTAATTGTCAGAACAGAGGCGATTGAGGAGGAAGTTGATTTTTGACTTCAGAAATCAGGCATGTTTGCAGACAGTTTAATTTCCTTGAGTTAAAACTTATAGTCAAAAATGGAAATTGAATTAAATGCTTAGGTGGTTTAATGCAAATAATAACGGCATGATGGCTTTTGATACCTTTGTATTACTTAAGAAATTACTGAAGTCTGATGCATGCCCTTGCTTTTAGTTTTGTTGCAACTACATTGTTGTGCTTATCTTTTAATGCTGCCACTCTTTGGAAGATGAAGACAAGGAAGCTTCCCTGCCCAGTAGAAAAAGTATGGGTAGACAAGCACAAATACGATGAAGCAGAGAGACTCCACTATGAAAGAGAAGCTATGCTGGCTGCCGCAGCCCCTGAGGAATGCCAGGAGGTGGAGGCTGTAAATGGAGTCTGCAATGATGACTCTGCTGAAAGTGAATGCAAGGGAGACCTGAGAAAAGGAAAAAATGGAAAGAAACAAAAGAAAAGGAAGCGTTCCCCGAAACCCAAAAATGTGGTCTCCCAAGTAGACTTTATTCTGACTGGCTTATTAGCTGATCATGTGTGGTTTGACAAGCCCTTCTATGATCACGCTGAGAACGTGTACAGGAAAAACCTAGTGGATTGTCAGAGCCAGCAGGCACTTGAGACTGAACTAACTGTTGCTGAGCGGTCCACTTCAGTGTCCAGGTCAGAAGTTGTCCAAGAGGTTTCTAAGCCAAGGATGTTTTCAGCAACCCTGTCCTGCTCCCATGGTAGTCTGACTGCATGTCACCATGTTGTTCAGGATGTCTGGGTCAACAAGGTTGACTTTGATAAGGCCGAGAAGGTGTTCATCGAAAAATCTCAGTTCTTTGTTCCTCCACATGTCTTAACCATTCCATGTGCGTGGACAAATGTTGATAATGTTGGACTGAGAACACCGGATGAAGGTTACGTTACAGCCTTGCCTACTCCTGCCACTCCAAGCTTAGCTCCTGATGTCGTAGCTCATCCAGATGCTTCCTTCATTACCAGTTTGCCTGGCTCTGTACACCAGACGGTAAATGGTAAGCCACAAATTTCAAGCTTGCAGGCCCTCATGTCAGAGGTGTGGCTAGAGAAACCGCTCTATGATGATGCTGAGAAGAGCTTCTATGAGAACATGTTTGATGGGCACCCGCCAGGCAAAGCCAGACTGCAGGACCGTGGCTGCCCTGAAGCCTTGAAGAGGAACCACAGAGACAGGAAGAGTCACAGCCCCGGGCAGCAAACGGACATCAAGCATGTGGAGTTCACGAACTCCCCGCTTCCCAGTGATGCTGAGCAGCCTCCATCTACTTGCTATTTTCTGCACGAGGACAGTGAATCTGTGTGGCTTAACAAGTTGGTGTACGACAGTGCCGAGTCACGATATCGTGCATTGGAGGCTCAGAAAATGTCAAGAATGGGAGCGAGTGTGGAGGTGCCAGAATCCACAGTAGTAAAACCTTCTCAACCAGCTGCTTATGCTTCAAGTGTACCTGCTCTGGAAACTAAGTAGGAGAAATTTATTCTGGGGTAACACTCACACATGCAAAACTGCTGGGTCAGGATGGAGCTGAAAGGATTTGCATGTGTAGAAGACGGGCATCCTTTGTGTCTGCGGGGCCAAATGCGTGCATGCTGCTGTAGGGAGAAGGTGCTCTTGAGCCAACGAGCCTGTTTGTGGGTAGGGTAGCTAGGGGGAAACTCCTGTAAGGAGCCCCCTCTCTCCTGATGAATGCTGGTGGCTTAAAGCATCCCAATGAAAAGAGGTAGTCCTTTGACGTGTCACTGGAGAGGCTCAACATTTAAAGTGAGAGCTGGGAGTTGAGCTTTGTTTTGACCCTCCAGACATGGGGGACTTTGGGACAATGCCCTCTTCCATACTGCTGTTAAATACAAAAAGCTGTAAAAGTGAAAAGTTGGAGGGGATAATTATGTGGTTTAAGCAGGCCTACTAGGGTGAGAGAGGATGTCGCGTTTCATCTTTGAATTTGATTACTTAAAATGGTGCTGCTTTGTTGTGTATTTCTATTAAACCTGCCACAGCGTTCCTCACAGAAGCAGTTATCCCCGGTTCTCCTGGAGAACTCGGAGCGCAACAGGCTGGCCGTTAAACCCCATGCAAGAGATGACTGTACTTTAGTGTCGCTGCCGGTATCCAGCTTGTTGCAGAGGCTTGGGGATGACAGTGAAAAGGCTATTGAGGCCATCAGTCTGGTAGGAGCAGGTGCTTTGTTTGGGTGGGGGAAGGTTGCCTTCCTAATCTGTTAAACCATTCTATCTGGAAGCTGCTGTTAAATTCGGGACAGGGTGGAAAGGCTAGCTAGATTACCGCTAATTTGATGTGCATATATTGTGGCTGGGTAGAAGAATGCGTTCGAAAGTTGTAGATGACTTTTGTAGTTGTGGCTCTGGCAGTTAGAAATCAGACTAATACCTGCTTAAGGCCAGAAACATCTGAAGGCTTCCTTTTTACGTCTTGGGAAAGGTGCGCTACGAAGCAGCGCTTTCTCTGTTAGATAGGCACTTTTGTGTGCTGCTGGCTGAACCCTGAAGTCCGCTCAGCTGAGGGCTGTAATGCCTCTGGAGCTTGTCTTAAGGCCAGTGCTTAAATATTGTTTTGCAGTGCTAAGGTAGAGGCTGTTACGCCTCCAAAAAGGCTCTTGAAGCATGAGCTCTCACTTTTGACTCTCTTGGTCCTTAAGTTTAAGATTGGTTGGAAAAGGTTATGTCAAATGATGTAGATTGGGGAAGAAGGGGGTTATAGTCAAGCTTTAGAGTGCATGTGCCTTTTGTCGTGTCCTATTTGGAGTAGTTTTCTCTTTGGCAAGAACTAAGTATTTGGTTATGCCTTTCACCCTTCCCCCAGGAAAGTCCATGTGGTGTTATAAAATGTGGCGTACGTTTGTAACTAGGTTTCTCTATTAAACTGGGTGCTTGTATTGGGTGGCAGCTCAAGCAGAGTTTTCTTGTTGGAGAGTTGAGCGCTGGGAATGGCTTGAATTTGGAGGACGTGCATTGTATGGTGGCCTCTGGTCTCCTTTTGCACGAGGTGAGGAAGGTACAGAGGCATGTTCTACTAAGCACTTGTCTGTCAGCTTGCATGGAAATGTTTTACTGGAGAACCGCAAGGCCTGCTGTGTTTTGAGCTGGCAAGAAAAGGGTTTATGAGATGCTGTTAGCTGTTGTCTTCATGTTGCGTGGTAGAGGCTGGCATACGGTGCAGCTTCGTTGCAATGCTCAGTCGCTGCTCTTACCTTCTTCTCAAACTGACTTCTGGTCTGTAGCTGTTCCCTGGCTTAAAATAACGGGCATGTCCTCTGTTACTGTTGCAATATCTCCATCGTTCACCTTCTAGTTGTGAAATTAAGCAACCTTTGGAAGCTGCTGCACTGAAGAAAAATAACTTAGACCTTTCCACAGCAGCATTTGAATGCTTTATGCTGTTCCTTCCTATCATAGTAGTAGGTGTCTGTCTCTTGCAAATGTTGCACGGCTGATGATTTTAATTTCTAAACAATCACAGCAACTTCCAAGAGGGCGTGTATGCAGTTATCTGTGGTGCCATTGTAAATTGTGCATGCATCTGGGTTCAGGAGGCTGATCGCTGTTGGTGCCAGGCAATATGCTATATTGAGCCATTTATTACGGAAGGATTTGGTAGTGCCCCTCGTGAAGCATTGCGTGACCAGGGTAGAGACACATGTACTAGCATTCACTAAGGCAGCCAACAGTTGATGTCAATACAGTTCAGATTCTTGTCCAAGGAAGACTGAAATTGGTTTAAATTTGTGAGCAATAGTGTCCAGAGTTCCCGGTCATGCCCTGAGTGCTCCCTTATTGGCGTGCAATAGTGTGGCACGTGCTGTCTGGGGCTGCGTGTTCTTCAGTCTTTGGTTTCACTTTGCCCAGATGTCTTAAGAATGAAAAACGTTATTTGCTACTTGCTTGTCTCAGGCGCAGGATGTCTTTCTCATTAGCAGACTCAAATGTGTGTCTAATGTGATCTAGAAAATCTGATTCCAGATGGCGTTTTGTGGAAGTAGGTACAGATCAGGTGATGTATGCTGTCCCCACTGGGTACTCTGTCACTAAATGCAGGTCAGGCCAGGCAGATGGGAGGGTGATTAGAGTGCCCTCCTTTCTTAATAGGATCCCATTTATTTAAAGCTTTCCACCAGAGGGGAGACTGCTGAGTGCAGAGTTGCAGGTGTAGCTCTATGGGAGAAGGAAATGCTGTTCTGACAAGCTCATTGCAAGCTGCTAACCCTAACTACGTCCAGGAACTCACTTTGTTTCTCTTCTCTGCAGAAAAATGGCAGTCGACTTCCTTTCGCATGAGAAGATCTGGTTTGAGAAATTCAAGTATGATGATGCTGAGAGAAGATACTATGAGCAGATGAATGGGCCAGTTAGCAGTTCTTCACAGCAACAGGTAATGCTCGTTTCAGGTGTGGCTGGTTTAGCAGTGTGCTGCAGCTTAAAGAGCTAGTACAGAGAGCAGGCAAAAGAAGGACCCTCTCTGCCTGGACCTGTATTTCGGTGGTATTTCCACTTTGGCTGCTGCTTTTTCCAAGTTTGAGAGCCTTCTCCTGGGGCTCTCTAAGCCTACCCCCCTGTTAGGCCATGGTTTGTCTTTTCAATTACCATCTTCTGCGGACCATGAAGAATTTCTCTAGTATAACTGGTGTTCAGTGGAGATCACTGGGAGATCAGGTGCCCTTGTCTGAGATGTGGCAGAGCTGAAGAAATAGAGAAACAGCAGGTGAACTAGCGTATAGTGTACAACAGTTAATTTTTTCAGGCTGCTATGACAGGGTGTGGATGCTGTTTGTGATCTACTGGGGATGTAGCTTCAGCTGCATGCCCTGAGAGCTGCAGTCTTATTGACAGGGGTGGATGGTATGCTAGGCTAAGAATTCAGCTGTACTCGTTCAGACAGGGGAAATGCTGTTTTGCTCTGTTTTTGGAGCGACTAAGCTTTTCTTGGCAAGGGATATACTGGAGATCAAATGCTTGATGTTTGTGTAGGGGTACCACGACTCCAAAGAGACAAGGAATTATGTTCCTCTCTCTGTACCCCCTGCAACATGAAGTGTGCTCCTGTGGAAGATCCTGCATTGGAGTACTGATGAGTGTGCGGGAGCAGGAGGAGGGGAAGCACAGTGCAGTTGTGGCACACCTGAGCTAAAGTAGCTCACGTTTAACTTTCAGCCCCGAATTGTTACTATTTAAAGCACAGAAATACTGTAACTTCTTCCTGAAATGTAAAGAACTGTTAACTGTCTATGCTTTTGATTATGTAGAAAGCTGCTTAGAGTTTTAAATGGCTGTCTTGCAAGCGGCAAGTGTTTAAAGGGAAGCTTGTTGCTTAAGTAACAGCTTCGAGGCATGTTCTGCTCCGTTCCTGCTGCCTATGCTAGTGTAGTGGTAGTACAGCGCCTAGGACGCTTGCATAGAAGTTAGAGGCTGTAGATGAGCACTTGAAGCAGATGCTAAAGAGCAAACGTCTACGGTCTACAATGCTCTTAGAAGAACGGTTAGACTAATTCATGCCACATAAGGAGCTTTCAATGAAGAACAAATTCTGCCTGTGAGAAGCGGTGTGAAGGCTCTGATGGAGGTTCTGCAGGAGTTTATCACCCGCTTCTCTGCTAAGAAAAAAGATCCACACCCTGTAAAACCTGCCTCCAGCCTGGAAGTGGTTATCCACCTGAGTGTATCCAGGTTGTTGCTCTTGGATGGGCTGCATGACATGGACTTTTGGGCTTCTGCTTAATTTCCGGTAGATAGTTCCCTGTCTTGGATCTTGTTCATGGGGTTTCAGTTTGGGAGAGGCAAGGAGTGATTGGAGCATGGACAGTGAATTCGTGCCCTAGGAAGGGAATCTTCCAAGTCCAGGCTAAGGCACAGCAGCAGTGGCCTGGGGGGAAAAATAAAATTTGTGCTGCTATGCCCTGGGTCACACCTCATTTGGCAGAAGACTTCAATTACCAGGGCTGTTGCTTTTTGCCTGATTAAAATTACAGGTAATATTAAGGAAAAATAATAATAAAAAAGGCTGCCTAATGAGATCTCCAAGGATGTGTTGAAATGATTCCAACTCCCTGCCTGGCTGGCAGCTGTCCAAACTGTTCAGGGTAGTAATAAGGAGAATTTAAAAAGCTCTTGACTTGGATGATCTTCTGGACACGTGGTCTGATGTGACCAAGGAGTGCAATCCATGCTACTTGATTTAGAACCATCCTTCTTGCAGCTAATTTTGCGGTACTTGCTGAATCATTGGAAGAAAAAATAATCAAAACCACCCCCAGTCTTCCCCTTTTTTAACTTCCCTGACCAATTTCCCATGTTTCGTATTTTTTTAAAAAAATCTTGGTTCTTTCTGCACTGTTTGCAGGAGAACGGAGCCAGCACGATCCTACGCGACATTGCCAGAGCCAGGGAGAATATCCAGAAATCGCTGGCCGGAGTGAGTACCCAAGCTCTCTCACCAGCTGGCTACCCGCAATCATTTTTAGCTGTGGTGCATCTCCCAGAACTCCACTGTGACCACTTCATAGATTCTGTGGCTTCTTATTTTTAAGTTAGAGGAGATGACCAAGGTGTGCAGTGCTGTGTACCACCAGCATAGTTCCATCTGATCAAGAGCACCATTATTACCAGAGTGCATGCTGCTTACCTGCTTGCCAGACTGTAGTGCCTTCTAAAATAACTGGATTTGGGTTAAAATTTGTCAACTGTGCATTTATTTTTCTCCTGGTGGAATTTGTTCCCATCAATCTTATGTAACAAGTTACTGCTAAAATAACCTTGCTGAGTAGCAAAGTAGTGAGCTGCCAGCATGGGTATGTTTGTCTCTTGGGGTACACTGAGCTGCCACCTTCTCTTTCCTTTTTTGCTTTCAGTTAGGGTATGTGCAAAAAAATATCTGCTGCATCTAGGGAACTCAGCCTGGCTACTAGCTTTAACTCTAGACCATCCCATAAAGGTTCGGTAATGTCCTTTCTAGTGGTATGTTGGTGCTGATACATAACTGATTCACCAGAGAGCACTGTTATCGGTTTGAATTTTTTCAAGAGGAGGCAAGTCTTAAACTAATAAATGGGGTTTTATTGATTTCATGGCTGAGGAAAATCCAGCCGCAGAATGCAGCCCATGTGCCTGGATTTCTTTTTTTACCTCTGTAATGGGCCTAGTACGTTCTTGCACATATCTTCCATCTGAGTATATCTGTCCTTTACCTGTATTGATTTGACCTCACAACCCTCTCCTGGGATAGGTAACACTATGCATTTCTAGATCAGTATACCAGCAGAGAATCCAGCCTTTCTCGATGGGAATATCTCATATTCCGCCTTTCTTAACACAAGGATGCAAATAGCTGGGATGGATACAGTGGAATTAATCTGATTGCTTTTCCTGTGGGGGTCTCACTGTGCTGGCTGAACTTACACAAGCAATTTTTACATCTTTGGAATAACGGCAGCTCCTCATGTGAGTGATCCAAGATAGTCGGTACAGAACTGGAAACTTGGAAACGGATGCAGGAGGAGCAGGGCCAGTTTGAAGAAAAGCTGGAGGGGAAGGATTAGATTTGCTTTGGTTTAGTTTCAGTGGTCCTGAATACAGCTTAAACGCTGGAATCAGTCAAGAGTTTAGAACAGCTTAGTAACATTATTTAAAAAAAAAAAAAAAATCTGTTGAGGAAGTAAATAGGTGGAAGTAAAGTTCAACATTTTCTAATGTTGCCTTCTGATTTCTAGCATCAGTATTTCAGCCAACAGCTTGGGAAAGTTGGGAAAATTTTCCTGAGCTAGCTAGCTTAAGTTCAGATCTTCAATAACCTGTTCGAGCTTCCAGGAGAAATCAACAGCCCTTGTCTAAGACCTGCAGCTTGGATTTAAGGAAGGCAAATATGTGGGGAAATGAGCCACTGTCCCAGACAGATTTTTGAGGGCTGTTTAAGGACTTTGAGGTGAATTTTTCAGAGTGAAATCTAGTATTGGAGCAAAATGTAGCATCAGCTGCTTCCTCCAAGACCTGCCCCCTCCAGGAACAGAGGCTAGAGGTGGTGAGAAGGTGCAGGAAACCTGAGTAGAGATTAGCAGGCAGTGCTGCTGGTCTGCCCTCTGAAGGCATATTCTCATCTTGGTGAACGGTCTGTGGTTTACCAGACCAGGCCCAGTCTGGGGAGCTTCTCGTACTGGCCTGCGTCTCCTGCTGTTCAAAGGCTTTTTTATGTGAGGAACGTGCAAGTTTCGGACAGCCAAATATCGTAACGGAGAAGATTGGGAGGGGGTATTGGCAAAGCACCAGACTAGCGCCAGAACAGAAATTTGAGACTATAAACTCCTTTGCATCCCTGTGGTGCTTTTCTGGGGGTTAATTTTGTTAGCAGAAATTCTCCTGTTGGGTGTTTATTTCCTGTGAGGAAAGTTCAGTAGGCTTGAGAAATTAAGGTCAGGACTAAGCCAAGGGACCTCAAAATCGGAATAATGTGGGACGTTCCCCAAAGTGGATTTGGACTCTCCGGTGAAGGCTTGAAGGAAGAGCATTATGTACTGCAGTATTGCATTGAGAAAAACATTGTGCACTTTAATCGGCATTGCTGTTAGGGACTCTCTGTAATAACTTAGCCAACCTATAACTGCCGTTCTGTTTGCAAAGTATGCAGCTGCTTGGATAAGCAGAGCACATGGTAACAGCGACCTCTTCCTCCTCTTCCTTACTGTTTTGTGATCCCATGTTACTGTTCTTGCCTTACCCTGACTTACACAGTATCCCGGAGAGCTTACCTTTTCAATTTTTCAGATTGCCACATCTCTGCCATGAAGCAGTAAGTCACAGTAGCATCTTCTGTGTTGATGTGTGGATTAGGAAGACTGAGCTGTTGAGAAACAAGCCTGAAAGGGCAGCTTTTGTAGCTTCCATTTCTGAAGGACTGTTAATCTCGGACAGCTGTGACATGGAACAGGCTTGACTTTAGAACACCTTTAAACTTAAAGGCTTGACTTTAGAACACCTTTAAACTTTGTTTTCATGTCTCAAAGCAAAACTTACCTTGCTGGATCTGCAGAATAATTCTGGAGCGTGTTTTTCTAGTCAGAACGTAGCCTTTCCTTCCACCTAAACCTGCAGAATTGTTGTTAGGAATGATGAAGCTAGTGAAAAGTTGGCTCTTGCGAGATGGGGAGATGGAAGACTAGTGCTTTTTGCTTTCTGTGAAATTCAGCTAAGGTCTGTTTCAGATGTGCTTCAGCTGGGTAGTGTTTCGAAACGTGTGCTGGGGCATTAGAAGGATTGTTGTAGGGATTTGTATCTCCCAAGGGAGAGTACAAAACTCTGATGCCAGAAACGTTTGTTTGCACATACCTTCCATCCTGCTTTGCATGGTCATCGCTGCTTTAAACAATCACTCCAGTTTACATCTGCTAGATCACTAATGCTTTCCTACGTATAAAGTTTTTAACTTCTGTAGTACTGCAGCTGGCGGCATTAAGACCACAGAAGGTGAGCGATCTCACAGATGGGGAACGGAGGCATGGAAAGGATCGACTTGCCCGAGATCACAGAGCAAGTCCGACAGAGCTGACGACTGAACTTTTAGTTCCTAAAACCTTGTCCGAGGCTGCAAAAAATGGATGACGTTGGGCAGACCACTAGCGTAGGAGTTTGAAGCTCTGTTCTTCCCAGCTCCCTCTGTTAGAGAGCTTCTGTATTTGTGCATTTCCTCCATGTGAGGATTTCAAATGAGAAGAGCTCCCCAAAAAGCTGTGAAAGCACCTCTGATCCTGCAAAAGGCCATGGAGACCATGTTCAGAAACACATCTGTGTGCAGGTAACGGTCACACGCTCTGCAGGAAACCAGTCAGAATCCATCCTGTTGGTCTCAAGTGGGTGGTGAAAGCCACCTCTTGTTCTTGAGCATCGTCTCCCTACCCTGCAGGTCATTGAAGCGTACCTGAGCATGGCCAAACCTTCCATGTTTCCACAGCTCAGGTAGACTGACCTGAGGGGAGGAGTGTTGCACCTCTGCATGCATGAAATGGGGTTAATTTTTGTATGGAGCCATGAGTGCCTTATGAACTTTGTACTGGAGAACGTATGCCTTTTCATATCCCTGCTTGAACTTACGTGCAGTTCTTGGTATGGCTCCAGGCTCATTGGGTGCCTCTGCTGTGCAGAATATTTTGAATGGGTTGCAGTGCCAGTCAGTGTATCGCTGAGGTGGGATCAGCATAAAAACTATGGGTTAAGGTTAAAAAAAACCCAAAGAGGGTCTAACCGTAAGACAGTGCAGGAAGTGACTGAAGAAGTGGATCTCCTAACCTTGGGGATTTTGAGTTACTGTCTTTGATAAAATTCAGACATTTGTACTGAACTTCCTCTTGGCACCGCTAGGTCTCTTGCACATGGGGTGGGAAAAAACAGATGTTAGGTAACGTGTGGGTTATGCTGATGACTGTCTCTCTCTCTGAAAGCTTAAAACATCCCGAGGGCTAGCCCTCAGTCCCATAAAGGCCACTTTTCTTTAACAGTGTGGCTTGACCATCTCCCAGAATTGGGAACTGCGGTCAGCATTGTGCCTTGCGCTCTTTCACCTTACTTCAGGGAGGTTACAGGTTCCTAAAGAACAGCTTAGTCCTGTTTGTCAGGACTTTTCACCCTGTTTGCTTCATCTGAGGGCAGGCCACCCTCTTTTCTCCCCAGCAAGCGATGACTACGCTCAGGCTACCCCTGCCCTGGGGTTGCCTGCTCATAGAAATAATCTCTGAATTCCCTTGGGTGTTCATTTAAACATTGCGCTCTGCCATGCCTGCCAGCACCACGAGCCTTCTCCATGGTGCAAACCTCCCTTTTCCACAGACAGGAAAAACAGCACAGAGGAGCAAGCAGATCCTAATTTAATAGTGTAATAAGCAATATGAAACCTCTACTAATGCAGCAACTTAGCATATATGAGGATTGCTGCTCCTGCTGCATCATTTTGTTCCCTTGCACAACAGTGGACTGTTCCCGTGAATTTTGTGTGCGTTCAACCCATAATTGCATCCAGGCTGCGAATCAATCCTGCTGCGCGCGCAGTGGCCACTTGCAGCTGAGAAGTCCTTCTGGAGGTGAAACGACTCCCGGCAGAGCCGCTGAGCTATCTGTACCGCAGGTCCTCCAGCGCTTGTGTTACCTGCCTTATTGCATACTGGTGGGCAGGTGCATGCTTGAATGCTCCGTTGAGAAAGCTGACTCTCTTCTGAGCTCCCTTATCTATATTTGCAACTTCGGTGTTGCCCCACCTAAAGACTTTGGAGAAGGTGGCAAGGGAGTAATTTAGTTGTGCAGCGTAGAGCTCTGCAGCTGCTTTGTGCAATTCCCTGGGTTACAGATGCTGTTTGTACAGTGCCTGATGGTGGTGTACGGTTGGGTTTTTTTTACCTCAGGATTTTATACTACTGAAAAATAGTCTGTAGTAACGCAATACTTTATTTCTATGTCCTTCCTTGTTGAGACTAGCTTCATGCAGAGCAGGGTGTTTCAAAGCCCTCTCCTCTTAATTTCGCAAGGCGCACCTACACCCTTTTCTGGAAGACGTCAGATTCTTTCTCTGCAAGCTTGTCACCTAAATGACACTGCCACACAAGGCTGGTAAGATGATGGTGAGCTAGAGGCGTCCTGCCAAGCTGTGGATGCTCTTGCCGCATGATTGCGGGGAGGAGTAGTGCTGACCTGCTCAGTGTGAGACCCCAGGATGGCAGCTGACAAGCGTAAAGGCAGATGGTGCTATCTCGGCTTGGATTTGTCACCTCTTTGAGGGGTTCGGTTAGTGACTGTGAGGCAGGCAAGACTTTATATGTGTTCTTAAATATTATTGACAGGGAGGAGAGATTTGGAGGTGGGACTGAGTTCTGCAGCAAATGGTTCTGCTAAACCTGTGAGGCAGGGTTTAAAAAGCAGGCTGTTCTGCAGCACTGAATAGGCTTAGCTGTGCTGCAGCATCTTTAACGTCAGCAGCTGTGTGCAGGATAGCCGGAACTGCGAGGGCAAATGCAGAGTCTGTTGAAATGTTTCTGCATTTAGCTTGGAAACGTGACTAGGGCTTCAAACTGCCGGATGCCTGCAGTGCTTGCTGCTTAGCTGAGCCAGCAGGCTGCTTCTAAGAAGAAAAAGGAGGGAAGAAAAAAGCTGTATATCTCTTTTTGTAGGTGTAATAGCTCCTGTGTTTGAGAGGAGAAAAGGTAAAAACTACTCTTTTGGGGGAGGCGGGTGGTGCCTATTGCCAGAATTCAGACTTTTCATTGAATTTGACTTGGATCTTGGCCCTGATGATGTAGCTAGAACAGGAAAAAGTCAGCTAATGAATTTTTTTGAAATTTAACTTAAGTCTGTGGTGTGTAAGACCAGGGATGGCCTGATGCAATGGGCCCACCGTGGCTAGCAGTTTGCCCTTGGTGGTACCTGAGGAGATGTGTGGATGGAAGCCCACCTGTGGTTGTCATCAAGCTGCTCAGTGCAGACTTGTTGCTCTGTTCCTCTCTAGGAGAGATGCCTTAGTGGCAATTGGGGCCTTCTGAAGAGCCTTGGTAGCTTTGCATGTGTTTGTGTCTACAGAGTGAATGTTTTAGGTCTCCACAGGAGACCTAGCTGAGACCCACAGTGTGCGCTACGGTAATGCATGTACCTACTGCATCTCTTACTTTACGGGTGGCAAAATGGCTAAGACCATGCTCTAGACATCTTTGGTTCTACCACCCAGCTGCTTGACCCTTCTGCAAGCACTGAGATGTGCAGCCAAAAGAGGGCAGAGGTCATAGATGACTTTTTACGCAAGCTTTGTTTGGAGTGTAGCTGGTGTGAAGCTCTTTCTCATTGACAGTCTTTCCTGCATGAGGATCTGTTTCCTGTGCTCGACTGCCTCTTTCAGCATGAGTGAAGCACTTTTTTTGTCTTTCACGTTGAACCAAACACATTCCCCCCCAAACCTTTCGCCCTTTCCAGCAGAAGACAGCTCCGCGTAGTAAAGAAGCTCCCTCTGCCCGTCACAAGAGGCAGTCAGGCCGCTCAACTGTAAGTCATCTGCGCACGGATGGAGCTGGTTGTGTTTTCTGAGAGAAAGCTGGAGGGCAGCCCTATATCTCATACTGCGAGAGGAGCTTGCCCTTTGGCATATGGTCCTTAGCTCATGCATGTAGGCCTTGGGGTCTCCCAGCATGGGGGATAAATCTGGGGACTGCAGATCTGCACTTGTGTTCCTGAGCCTGTATCCACCCCAAAGGCGGTGTTCTGTGCCCGAGACTGATTTCCTGGTGCTCTTGATGTCTGGCCCCTGCTCCTTTTTGGGTAGGTGAAGGAGGGTCTCTTTGACCTTCCCTCCGGAGGCAGCACATGTTGCTTTCCTGTGTCCTGTAAACCCTGCTCTCCCAGGGTTGTCTCTCCCAGATGTGCTTTCCATATGCCCCATGTTCCCCATCTCTTCATCTTAAGTGATTGCCGTGATACGAGGAGCATGTCAAATGCAACCGAGAATCACATTAATTATATGTGGGGTGCGCTTGGAAGAGCATAAATTATCTCTCTTGTTGTATTCAGTTATACTGGCACTTAAAGCTTGAAGGCTTGTATTGTCTTTCCCTTTGCGGAACTGACTTATGGATGAGGGCTTCCTTTAAAAAATGAAAGCACTCTTTGCTGTTAAAAACAAATCCTTTTGAAACTGGATTGGTATAATTGCCCCCGCTCAGCATGTATTAAAGTAGGTTTCAGATTTTTTGAGAGGAGTTAAAGGCTGGAGCAGGGAAGATGGGAGTCAGAAATCCAGGAATCTTTCTAGCTTTCACAGGGACTTGCTGTGTGACGTTAGGCAGGTCATTTCTGTGCTCTGTGCCTCAGTTTGTAAGAAGAGACCAGCTGCCCCGTTGAAGGGGCTTAGTGTGAAACTTTTGACACCTTTTGCATGTTTAGCGATAGCTCATCATCTGCGACTGCAAAGAATGACTTTATCCTGTACTCACCAGTGCCAGCTGAAACTCATGGGATGTGTTTCATGCTTCATTATATAGAGCTAGTATATTCTTTTTCAAGGCTTTAGATGAAATGACCTTGTTCTTAGGTAGCTTTTTAAAATCTCTTCTTCCCCAAAGGCTTGACTCTGCTTCGCTTCACTGAACCATTGAGCTTGGGAGTAGGTGAACAGACTTATTTCAGCTCGGTTTTCCTTGTTGCAGAGTGCAAGCACAACCTCTTCTGGGCCTACTGGTGATCAAAATGAACTCATTTCCAGAATTTCTCATCTGGAGGTAGAAAACCAAAACCTTCGCAGTGGTAAGTGGGAGAACCTTGTGGCATGAAAGCAAATTTGGTGGAGTCCTGCTCCCGTGGGGCTTCCACCTTACTGACCTTGTCTGTGGCCAGGTGAGCACATGCCAGTGTGTTTTGATTAGAGCTTTGCAGACTTTCCTCTGGCTGGGACAGCTGGTATTTGCAAACCTACTTTGAGCAAAAGCTCCCCAAGTGCTGACTTGAGAGCTGATGCTGGAGCCTACGAGATAAGGGTTTTTCCCCTGCTTTTTGCAGTTGTGGCAGATCTTCAGATGGCCATCTTCAAGTTGGAAAGCCGCCTGACTACTCTGGAAAAATCATCTACCTCCCATCAGCCCTCATCAGTTCCACCAACCCAGGTGAGCCTCAGCAGAGTGCTGTTCCTGAGTGCTTCATAACAAAGTCCCAGGTTGTTTCACAGGTCTCTTCACTCTGCTGAGGATTGAGATGCTTGTGGTTAGGCTAAGTTTATTAGAGCTTTTTCAGCAGTTTTGGCAGCTGCCTTGTGATCTGTCCCCAAACAGTACATACAAGTCCCCAAACTTAAATATATGTATGTGTAGGCTCAGGATATCCAGAACACAGGAGTCTAAACAGGAGAACAGTCGGGAACCTGTCCTTACACACTTAGCCTTACTATCCTGATATAGGTTATATGTAGAGGGGTGGGTGGGTGTACATATATACGTGTCCCCACACCTATATATAGGTTTGGGGGCACCTATATATTTGTTTGGGACTTGCATTAGTTCCCAAGCGCTGCTCTGATTTAACTTCACATTAATTTTCTTTCCTTTTCCCTTAATGCAAACTTCAATGCATGCCACCCCAATGAAGAAAGTGGAACCATTCAGTGTTCCCTCCAAGAAAGTGGAGCTCCCATCTGCTTCAATTGCAAAGAAAGTTGAGGCAGCTGCTGCAGAGGATGATGAGGATGATGACATTGACCTTTTTGGTAGTGACGATGAAGAGGAAGACCAAGAGGCTGCCAAAGTCCGGGAAGAGAGACTGCGTCAGTACGCAGAGAAGAAAGCCAAGAAACCGGGTCTAATTGCCAAGTCTTCCATCCTTCTGGATGTTAAGCCGGTGAGTAACTCTAAAGTAGGGGTTGTTCCTGAGTGAGGCTATATGTTTCATGCTGCAGGAGGCTGTAAATCATCTCACTTGCAGATCCAAGTTGCCTGGTGAAGCGAATGTGACTTGCAGATTTCCAAACAAGGTTTGGAGGTAGGTGGGATATTGCAGCTGGGATCGGCAGTCTTTTGTGCTGCTGCTGCCTCCCCAAACCATGGCAAGTGCAGGCTGTTATCTGATGGGTCCTGCTGACCAGGAGTAGCCCCCTCCTTTTGAAGAAAGGGCTTTCATCAGTTAAAGCAAAATCACAGGTTAACATGCCCCGAAGAAGGGAATGAACCCGTCTGGGTTAAACGGATTCTCATGGTAGGACAAACTCTGGGCTATGTAGTGCTCTGCACAAGAAAAAGAAATGTCCTTGGTAATGATAAAACTATTTACGTACATTTTAAAGCGAGCGCTCCAAAGTAGATGTGTTGCTGCAGGAAGAATTCCCCTTGCATATGAATGGCCTGTAGATAGAACTGAAATATATATTATATAGCATTGCTGTGAAGTCATATATTTAGTTTGGTTAACCCCGTCAGCTAATTCTGGTGAGAATGGCAGCTAAGAAAAGGCAGCTTGAATTAGCTGGAATGTACTGAGAGGAGGGGCAGTGTTGAATTTTAGCGGCAAGTTGAACTAGGAACACGGGTATGTGTTAAAATATATGAAAGCAGGTTGACTAACTTGGGCTACCCAGTCTGATTTAGGGGTGCACCTTAATCTTTGATGGGGGTATTGTCCACCCCCATTCTGTTGGCTGTATATGTGATTGCGGAGCACCTCTCAGGGCTGATGCCGCTCTCTAGGAAAACACTGACGTTCTTATTTCACGCCTTTGCAGTGGGATGATGAGACCGACATGACAAAGATGGAGGAGTGCGTCCGGTCCATCCATATGGACGGGCTTGTGTGGGGAGCCTCCAAGCTGGTCCCCGTAGGCTATGGCATTAAGAAGCTCCAGATCCAGTGTGTGGTGGAGGATGACAAAGTTGGGACGGACATCCTGGAGGAGGAGATCACCAAGTTTGAAGACTATGTAAGTCTTTGAGCTGTATAATGCTACGTGATGCCTCACCTGAAGGGTCATTTTTGACTAAGATCCACTTGCAGGCTTCGGCATGTTTGGATCTTTAATAGAAAATCACATGGAATTTGTTGCGTCTCTGTGTGCTGAGACACCTGTACGTGTTTTTTTTAAGGTTAGCTAGTACACTTTGTCTTGCAGATATTTTGTAGAGCCATTTAACTGGCTGTGAGCCCTCTTACTGCTCATCCAGCCCATTGGGTTTTATCTGCTGCTTGTATAGTCACAAAAGTCCAAGCAGCTTGTGCACTAAGTAACAGCGCGAACATCTTGTGGAACAAGTTTAAAACTGCTTTAATCTGGATGTTCGTAGGTTGGACTCGCTAAAGATTCATAGAGTAAGTAGCGCTGTGGAGTTTCTTGCTGTGCCTGGGGTTACTGTGCCTTACTAAACAGCAGTCCTAAATAGCACCTAAAAAGCTGCTAAGCCACCCAAAAGATGGCTCTTACTCCAGCTGGGAAGCTGCCCTGAGCAAAGTGGGCTCTGCTTGATCTGTTTGAGCAGATGCACGTGTGCTGTCAAGAAATCCCTGGGGAGGGAGTACTTCCTTGGTGGTTATGAATGTCTGAAAAGTGCTTGGTGATCCCCAGCTGCTGCTCTTGTTCTGTTGCAGGTGCAGAGCGTTGACATTGCTGCTTTCAACAAGATCTAGAAGCAGACCTATATATCCTCTCTGAAAGTGTGATTAATAAAGGTCAAGATTGGGAGTGCGGATTGCAATGATGTCTTTCTTTGCAACATGTAACTCTGCCGGGGAGCGATGCCTTGTGAGACTTGGGGACGTTTCCCCTCCTTGTTCCCTTCATGAAAGGTTGTTCCTGCGCTTTGAGACATGGGGTAACTGTTTCTGGCTGGGAGCGGCGTCCTGTTTGAGCAGCGAAAGGGGGGGGGGCTGTGTTTCACGCCCCAGCTGCAAGCACTGGGCAGTAACACTGGAGAGTGCAAGGTCCGAGTTGCAAAACGCAAACGCTGAGCAGCGCAAAAGGTGAACGCGGCGAGCGCAGGCCGAAGCCGCTGCAGGAGCGAGGAGCCGGGCGCCCTCT